CTGAAATTAAACATTTTGTAGCCATTTTCGGTAACTTGTTTGATAATGAAATCTTAAAGAGACAATACAACAAATATGTTAAAGGGACAATACGACAATACCAAATATACAATAAATACAAATACACACTTATATACAGTACAACACGGTACAAATAATGGCTATGGATATGATGAAAACGTATAAAAGTCAAAAAATTTATTTCTCTAATTAAATTTGCAAAAAAATGTATCACAAAAACTTATTTTTAGCACTTTTCAATAAGCTGTATATTTTAAGTATGTTGCATTCCGGTCATTTTTTTTACACCTATGGATACTATGTGCTTAGCACTTCAAAACCATCCAAAGAAATTCTACTTGCGACCATGAAAGAAAAAGTTACAGTGTATCTTTTTCTGCACTATAAGGACAATGTGAATATGGTACCCTAAAACAAGTCCACACAAAATTAGTATGTACTGATTTTTTTTTCAAATTACTTCTGGGGTAGAAGTTGACCACCCGCTTTATCAGACAGGGTCAAAATTAGAAGGTTGCTATTCCACCATAGAATACAGTCTGTGCTTAAAAAGGGTGATAAATACACATGTGAAAACCGCAATTTTACCCATAAAATGAATAATTCCTGTACAGTCCTTTAGAGCGACATCAGACCGTAACCACTTCAGCCTGTTACGACTTGCCCCTAGGGGGTGTCATACCATAAGTTTGATCAAAAACTTCCGACCCCCCATCTTAGCACTTTTTGCGATTTTTGCATGGTCTTCTTGCGGATACACTCTTAAATTGGACACATTCAAGAACACAATATTTTTTTTTATACAATTTTTTACAAAGTACAAGTGTGTGGCCAAATTTTCCCAGCATTTGGTGCCCAAAATGTTCTGGACCACCTAGAGGTCACAATTTATTTCCGATTTGCGCTTATCGGACCGTAACTTTCTGAATTAGGGACAGTGATTTCCATTAATAGTGTTAATACATTGATCTTTATAAATAATAGGATTCCCCTCCTTTTAATCCCTGTAAGAGGTTCCGTTGTGTAGGTTTTGTTGTGAATGGCCCCTAATAAAAGGTGTCAAGATTTAATATTTGATTCTTATCTTTCTTGCATATTCTGTATATATTTGCCTACTATTCACATATCTGTATCATTTGCTTGATAAAGAGGAGAGTATCCTCGTCGAAACGTCGCTTAGTATCAAACTCAGAATTGTGTATCCATAAAATTGTACCTTGTTTAGTATAATTAACTGTAATAACAAATTACTATTTTTGATGACATTATAGTAGATATATAATTTAAATTTCCACTCTCAACTTATATACTTTGTTATAATATTGTACATACTGTAGATTATGTAAATATAGTATTTATATGTATACTGATGAGTTTTATACTCAAAGTTAATAAAGAACTGAACTGAACTGTGTGAATATGTTCAATTACTAAATGCCAATCAAAGAAGATATTAATTAGAAATTTATTAACACGAAAAGACCTTTTTAATCAACCCTCGATGGTTTCTTATGGGTCGGATTTTCATTGTATTTGAATCCGTTCTGCTGCTCAACGCTCATTCATGATTAAATCCAAAAATGGATAACCGAGGCTATGTTTTTTATCGTACAAATTTAGTAATGATGATTGATGTTCAGCATGGAGCAATTTGACTGAAATTTTCAGCATGTCCCCTTTACGTTATCAAGTTTTTAACCATTATAGTTACAACTTCCAGCTCTTAATTGAATCTTCCAAAATGCATCTTTAAACTTAACAGGTCTTTCTCCAAATACCACATTCTTTCGCCTGTCTCTTATAATAACTCCAAGGGACGATTCCATATAAGAGGTCAAAAGGGCGAGGATTTGCATTCTGGAATTATGAGTGTTGCCCTTGCTTTGTCCTTTACCAATTTATTGATTACTGTTGGAATCAAAACAGTGGGTCTACTGCTGCAGTGGAACCATTTCTAAGGTCACGTGATGGTTGATAAAGCCTAATTTTCAACCCTTTCAAAATAAAGTTATTATTATTATTAGTTATTAGCCCTAACCATACAAAAAAGTGATAGAAGGCCATACCGCTGACTAATTTTCAGAAATCAGTCAATATTAAGAAGCTTCTTCATAAAATAAAGACTGTGTATAAATTACATGTCAGTTGGATGATAACTTTAGACTCTTGTGTTTGTGGTTGCCACTGTTTTTCCTGGCATTGTTTTGTAATATCGTCTTAATGTCTGCACATGTAACCTTCACAAAACTAGCCAAGTGAGGAATTATTGGTTTTATACGGAGTAATTAAACATAAAAACAGGTCACTTTTTAATCAAAGATAGGTTGCCAGGCACTGAAACATACACCCATAGCAGCTAAGTCGTCCAAGCAAGAGAGAGAGAGAGAAATGGGGTTTAACGTCCACTTGACACAAACTAGGTCACTTCAGGACTAACATATGGTTTAATTTTATTTCAATAATTCGCTTGCTCGTAGGGGTCTTTTTAGTGCGAGGAAACTGGAGGACCCAGAGAAAACCCACGAGGTTGGACAGGCGTCCCTACTCCTTGTCACGTACAACCGGGGATTCGAAACCACGCCAGTTGACTCAATGACAAGCTTTATGATACAGCATGCATGTGCTAACCATTCTGCCATCCAACCCCCCTCGTCCAAGCAGTCAACAAGAGTTGTCGCATATTTTTTCTATTGTCGGTAATGAAACAATAATAATACACTAAAATCTGATTAAGAGTAACAACTCATTAAGTAATTATCCAAAAATCATTAGAAATTGTTTGGCTTTTAGTTCTGCCCCATGCTAACGTTTAGTATATGAAACATTCAATATCATAGATTTAGCTGTTCCAAGTTATCAAAATTCATTGAAAATCAATATACTTGTTCGTGGCAAGACCTTAAACTTTGTTGATCAATCTAAAGTGAATCGGATGATAACTTTGGTCTCTAGAGCGTCCACAAGATTTTTCAAAGTAATCAAGGGCCATAACTCTGGTAGTAATTATAGGAAATCATTAAAAATCACTGGGCTTCTTCGTCGCACGACCTTAAACACTGTGTATAAATCGGATATTAACTTTAGCCTCTAGAGCATCCACAAGATATTTCAAAGTGATCAAGGGCCGTAACTCTAGCATCGGAAATCGTTGAAAATCAATAGACGTCTTCGTCTCACGACCATATAAATCTGAAGTCAATCGGATATTAACTTTAGCCTCTAGAGCGTCCACAAGATATTTCAAACTGATCAAGGGCCATAACTCTGGCAGTAATTATCCTGTATCGTTAAAAATCAATAGGCTTCTTCGGACGCCTGACGGACGGGGGCAACAATATACGACCACATTTCAATGTGGGCATATAAAAACAAAGATCGTTTCTCGTAACGCGTTTTGAAAGTGTTTGGAGATCTATTGCTGCTCCCACCCATCCTAAATGAAAATCTGTCTTTGAAAGAAGTAAAACAGTTACATGGGGTCAGTTATCAAAACTTAATGCAGCATTGTCCAATGTGTCTGAAACTCACAAAATCTATACTAATATCTGTGACTGTCGCTTGTCTGTTCGGGGTTGGCGGCTACACTAGGCCTGATCCGAGTCTGAAATTTGGGGTATAGGGGTAGCTCGGACCGGGGAGTAACATAGGCCAGGTGGCGTTAGTCTACCACTTCCGGTTTCGGGCTTATGACCCCCGAGCGAAGCCGGGCATTCTTCTAGTATTTAATAATTAAACATGACAAGTTCAAACCCTTTATTGTTCACTCACTCCAAGTCCAAGATGCTTACTTTATTGTTCAGTGTCACCAGAATCTGTTTTTGGGAACCCTCTACATTGACAAACAAGTCGTTTGAGGGTTCACAAGGTTCTAAATACTAAAACAAGGGCCTTAACTCTGGAAGTAATCTACAGAAATTGTTGAAATTTTCGTTTTACTAATTAAAATAATGCATATAAATTTCATACAGATCGGATGATAACTTTTATCGTTCGAACGTTCACAAGGTTCAACAAAGTAAAACAAGGGCCATAACTCTAGAAGTAATTGAGGAAAATTTGCTGAATTTCAATAGGCTTCGTTTTACTAATTTAAACAATACATATAAATTTCATACAGACGGATGATAACTTTTATTGTTAGTGCATTCACAAGGTGCAACAAAGTGAAACAAGGGCCATAACTCAAGGCGTAATTAATGAAAATTGCTGAAATTCAATAGGCTTCTTCGCTTCACTAATTTAAATGATGCATATAAATTTCATACAGATCGGATGATAACTGTTGTCATTAGATTCTAATTTAGAGTGTTCACAAGATTCAACAAAGTGAAACAAGGAGCATAACTCTATATGTAATAAACGGAAATTGCTGAAATTCAACAGGCTTTTTTGTTTTACTAATTTAAATGATGCATATAAATTTCATACAGATTGGATGATAACTTTTGTTGTTAAGAGCGTTCACAAGGTGCAAAAAATTGAAACAAGGGCCATAACTCCAGAAGAAATTAACGGAAGTTATTTAAATTAATAGGTTTCTTCATCTCACTAATCAATTTCAAAACAATCAGAGAGAGAGAGAAATGGGGTTTAACGTCAACTTGACACAAACTAGGTCATTTCGGGCCTAACATATGGTTTAGTTTTATTTCAATAATTCGCTAGTGCGTAGGGGTCTTTAGCAGTGGGAGGAAACCGGAGGACCCAGAGAAAACCCACGAGATTGGACAGGCGACCCTACTCTTTGTCACGTACAACCGGGGATTCGAAACCACGCCAGTTGACTCAATGACAGGCTGTATAATACAGCACGCACATGCTAACCTTCGGCCATCCAACCCCCCCCCCCCAAAAACAATCAGATGATAAATGTACCCGCTGAGTGTTTACAAGAAATAGTGGACGACGGACGGACGGCAATATATGACCACATTTCCATGTGGGTGTATAAAAAAAACAGTAAAATAGAATCACGAAAAACAATTTTAAAATGAAAATCGTTTTATTTCTTATGTATACTATAATCATTATCATCATCATCACCACACACACCCACACTATATATAAACTATCACAATCATAGCACTTGTCAACAATTAATATAAAAATATAACTAATCCCTGTATTCTCTAACATTGTTTAGCATTTAATATTTCAATTCAAGTAGAACATAGTGCCAAAAACTTTATTATTATTAATTTGCCTCTGATACCACTACAACATTGATTAGAAAGTTCACACATTGTATTGTTACAACTTGCTATCTGTATGTATGTAGTAAAGTTTACTGCATACATGCAGATGGCAACTTGTAAACAATGATACAAAATTCATGTACAGAGTTGTTTTACTTTGAGGTCAAATATACTGTGCGCCAGTGAAAATGCATCACTTTTTTCCCCAAATATCTTATTACTAGGTGGTTTTGTTTGTATAATATTATGCAATACTATGAACTATTGTTTCACACAATGCTCCCAAACGCAAAAAATATCGGCCCGTGTGCACAAAAAAAATTGCACGAGATGCACATGAAAAACCCAATATTCACGTGCAGCATTGTGTGTGAGCCCTTTAAAAGCATGTTTTCAACTTAATGTGCAGTACATGAACTGTGAAACGTCAATCTGTCGTAATTTGTTGTTGGACGTGTGGAGGAATCGAGCTAGAGATGCCAAGATTTACTGAAAATCAACGGAATGAAGCCATGGGAATATCCAGGGCTGGCATGTCTACACGTGCTATTGCCAGACACTTCAATTGTCATCAGTCCACTATTGTAAGGTTGGTGGAACGTGTTCGAGTTGCTGGATCAACACGTGACCGTGTTACACAACGTGTTACAACCCAGACTCAAGACCGCTACATCCGGGTCACTCATCTGTGTGACAGATTCCGCCCAGCGACTCGAACAGGTGCAGCAGTCGTCGGAAGACAAGGACCAGTAAGTGCCAACACCGTAAGACGTCATCTAATAGAAGCAGGACTCCGTGCACGACGACCTTATGTTGGAGCTATCCTCAGGGATCATCACCGTCAGCGGCGTTTGATATGGGCTCAAGGACACCAGACATGGAGAAGAGTAGACTAGCAAAGTGTTCTCTTCAGTGATGAGAGTCGCTTTCATCTTTATCACGCTGATGGCTGTCAACGTATGTGGAGACGTCCTGGGGAACGTCTTGCAGACTGCTGCGTCTTTGAAACAAATCGATGGGGTGGGGGTAGTGTAATGGTGTGGGGAGGCTTCACATTTCATCACCAGCCTACCGTGATGATGTCTTGCAACCAATTGTTGTTCCGATGTTTTGAGCGCACCCACAACTTCAGCACTTCCAACAGGATAATGCACGTCCGCATACCGCCAGTTTTAGTATGGACTACCTGGCTGCTAACAACATCAATGTCTTGGACTGGTCTCCGGACATGGCACCGATAGAACATGTCTGGGATCAGATTGGACGCCGTCTGTATCGGAGACCACAGATGCACACCATTGCTGCTTTAGAAGCTGCTCTTGTCCAAGAATGGAACAATTTGCCCCAGGCCTTCTTTCAAACATTGGTAAATTCCATGTGACGTCGCTGCACAGCGTGCGTAAGAGCCCTTGGAGGACACATGCGCTACTGACATCTGTGTCGTACTTTTGGTTTTGACCCCCCTGACTTTGTACTGTTGATTACAGATTAAACATCCATAAGTGTACAAATGTGTTGTTAGTGATGTGTTCCCATTTGAATATCGTTCACAATAAGAAGCAAAATAAGATATGTTTACAGGATCATTTTGTTATACGAAAAACTAAGTGATGCGTTTTCCATGGCGCTCAGTATATGTTGATTCCAAATAAACTAGCACAGTGACAAGATACATTTGTATAAAATTGGAATTTTTTTTTGATCAATACTTTTAGAACTTATTAGAAATTAAATACAACTAGAGGAAATTGAAGATTGAAGAAAAAAAGCAAAGTGGCAACATTATGTCTCTTTAAGCATTGAATTGCCCTACTGTGATAGTAATCAGTATTTAGCAATAAGACACTAATAGTATATGACTGCATCTAGGGTGAATATAACAAACAAATATACTGAGAAGCAATGATAATACACCAATATTTTGAAGAATTCAAATGCAGCAACATATTCTTGCATCCAAAATGTATGATTTCAGTAATATGGTAAATAGATAAGCTTAATTTCCAAAACAATAACTCATAATATACAATGACTTTAAAATAAATCATCTTGTGAACATGATACATATATAAAATAAATATTTTGTATAATGTTTGGAAAATGTAAGAAACCATTGTTTATTTATATCTTGGGTCATATATAACTGTAACATTATACAAGAGATAAGAGTGTCTATGAAGACCAGGTTATCCCGAATGTCAGTGACTAGTTTCGTTCGTATTGAACTCTTCAGACTGATTGGACTCATGTGGCGGGTGTTTATATTTATACTATTCTGAAACCCCGGTGGGATTTCCATGGTTACTAACTGGGGGCCGGTTACCGGGGTTGGCCCTTGGCGGGGTTTGCGAATATGTTACCGGTGGCGGTAGCTCGCTTACCGTGGTTGTTCAGAGGTTTGACAAATTGGCGGGGTTCCGAATTTGTTACCGGGGTCGCTAACTCGCTTACCTGGGTTGTACTGATCGTTTAGATTGAAGTGCTAGTGTCTATAATTTGGCTAACTAGGATGCCTTTGATTGGTTTGTAACATTGTTACTTGTCATTACAATGAAGGGATAGTATATGGACAAGGGTGTTGATGTAACACCCGCGAGTGGGATATAAGGCTAAATAACGGTTGGTCATGATTACTTCTTTTGCCTCGGAATCAATCACCACTTTGACGGAAAATCTTTTCTCGGCTAAAAAATCTTTATTCTCTCAGCTAAGGGAGATACGTAGAATCAAACCGGTCCAGAGCTGATCTTGTTGATAAGAAGCAGCTCATTTGACATTCACATAACCGAAGGTAAATAGGCCTACCCGTCCAGTTAATACAACGGACAATCTCACATACTAGACACATACTAGTCGCTTCCGATTTCCAAGGCATTTTAGTCCAAACCTTGACTCTCATACAAATAAACCATTTGGTACTATTTCGTACCTATATCATATTTAAACCCTCGGACGACATGTTGAATTAATTACACAGTATTCACCATTCTAAAACATAACTACTTTATGGAATCAACGACAAATCTAAACTTGGGCACTCCAAACATTTTTATTTTTGTTTTACAATAACTGTAACATTACTGATAGAAGACTCTGTTTCTTGCTGACAGCAACTGGCTATGTGAGTATGTGTAGCTCAAAAAACAGGACCTGACTAGTTGCTGTCAGTTACTATTTTTTTCATGTATGCGTAGCACTCTTATTGTCTGCATAAGGTACGATGTCGGTCTATACTCTAGACATAAATGGCACTAATAGAAAGATGGTATAAGAGGGGAGTAGCCAGGTCTGAACTTTGGTAGGTTCAAATATCTTGATGAGGAACTTGGTTAGGTATAAATACACAATACAAACAGTAGGTCACAGATGTAAGATGTTGTCATGATGCTAACCACAACAGTACTTCCCCATTCCCAAACTCATATGCTGCTTCAAGGATTTGTAACATGAAATTGGCATGAATTGACGAATCAACATAATATATAAAATAATAACATTACAATTATTATATGTTTGTATATTGATATTACTAATAAGATGACTAATACATACATTTCTAAGGTTATAATGTACCTACACAGTTCCCTGAACATGAAATCAGCATGAATTAAATCAACAAATTTGTCAGACATTCTTATTCAGTGGAATGATAGGATATATATACTCTTCAGAAAAAAACTAGGGGATATTGAAATGCAAATACCTATGCAGGTTGTGATATGATAAATAGTCATGGACACTTGACATGCTTTGAGTATGTTCACAGACGAAGAACTTATCGCCCCAACAGAACCACTGAGCTGCACATGCGACACGCAATAGCGCCATACATGTGGGAGGGGTTCATTGTCAAATTTGACACTTCAAGGAAGGGTTGATGAAAACTGCAGCGTCCTGGTTTATCTATCCATGTTTGCTTTCCTATCGGTTCTTGCATAAGATTTACTGTTTAGCATATCTTTGCCTTAGTGTGTTACGTTTAATTTGATTGGGAGACGTGTTCATCGACGACAACGTCAACCGACAACACTGCAAGAATTGGCCGTGGCACTGCAAGAGGGGTGGGTCTGATCGCCCCAAATCGTGATTGGATGGTTGTTTAGGAGCATGCCACGACGAATTGCTGAATGTCTGAGGATTGGTGGAGCAATTACTCATTATTAAGACCAAAATCAAAAATGTCCATTTTCACTTTTGACAGTGTATCTGAAATGGGGCCGTCAGATAAGCTGCCCATTCTGTTTATGTTCATGTGTAGGCAATTGGCCTATTATTTTAACATACACTGGTTACCTCTTATAAAAACAGCAGTGCATTTCCCCAGTTTTGTATTGTTTCAGAATGTCCCCTACTTTTTTGAAGAGTATATAATGTATTAACTGGCTAGAATTCATTTAATATTTGTTTTTTGTTTTTTTTAATGTACATGTAAACATGATAGTGTTTATAATGTACATTGTAAACATGAGTGTATTTCAGACAATCTGATTAAAATACAGATCTATATTTTGTTTTGTTTTTTTATACTTTCGATGGCCTACACTACATGAAGATCTGACCAGTTGTATTGGGAGGTCGCATCAGGGGTCATACGAGCGGCTTTTGATCCTATGATGCCCAACATTGATTAATCAATCACCGTTGATGTTTCTAGTGGTTTACCCACAGTTTTGTGCAGAGAACGCCAAGAACTAGCTGTGACAGACTGTTTCATTGGCTAATTCATCACATCAACTAGAACGCTTGTATAACAACTCTTCCAGGTCCTAGTGTTGTGAAGACAAGTAAAATGAAATTTTGTACTATAAAAAACGAAACGAAATAGGATCTGTGTTTTACTCAGGTTGTTTTTTAGGTAAGATTGATCCACATTTTTCAAATTCATTATTGTTTTGTTTAATCAGGAGTATAGACAAAGGTAAAAAGTAGATAAGTAAAATCAAAGTTGATCTTGTGCAATGGCCATATTTTTATTACAGTGTAAGCCACGATCAAGCATGTTAAACTACATGTGGATACAACATTATGCTACATTTCGTTTTACTGAACTACAAGAAAGATGACAACTACACTTTAATCTAGATCAACATAAAGTGTTGATCTGGGTTGGTATTTTGATTATTGATGTGACACAAAATCAATACAAATAAATTTTCATTTATAATGAAATGGGTCAGATTTAATTGTAATTTTGTTTTTAATACAAAATTAGTTATATCTACAGTGACTATCTGTAGATCTTAAAATTTAAATATAGACAGATCCACTGCACAAACTAAGTCAAAGATACCAACATTTCAATTTTTCTCAAATGAAAGTAGTATAAGTCATTTTTTAACAAATAAAATAGTAGAAGTTTTATGATAATTCATGGTAATTGACTAGAAGAAGTCAACAATGGTTGTGTTTTAGATTTAGCTAAATCTACAGCATGTTTAGCTTTTTCTTTTAATTTTTGTTTGGTTTTAGTTTGTTGTGGTATATCTGTCACAAATAATTTCTCTAACGTTATATTAAAACCTTTAACATTTTTGGTGATATTACTTTTGTATCGTTCTACACCGAAAGCTTGTAAAGCTCTTCTAAAACCATAGAGTGATGACTGAAACCACGCCCAGCGGTTACATTGTGTTGTTCTTAAATTTTCAGGGTTCTGTATGTAATCACATTTTTCTACGATTGTCTGCAAAATATAGTTGCAATATATATATAAGTAAATACACTAACTCTAAAACTATCAAACAGCGTCAAAATGGTCCAAGTGCTTAAATCATATGAACAAGCGAGCCACTGGCTCAGTGTCCATGGAGCTGGTTCAGGGTTGATCCCGGCGTTGGTTGAAAAAGTCAGAGGTTTTCAGTGATGCAAGATAGAGAGTGTCTCTCTGTTTTGATGGGATAACAACCAAGGTCCTGTGTATCTATGTTGGTGTGTGGGTAAAAGAACCCATGACAGTTGGAATTCGATATGAACAGGCTGCAATTTTCCCTCATAGCATTAGCACATGTGTGGTGGCACAGCAAAACCCTTCACATGGTGAAAATTAAAAAAAATTGTTTTTGATATGTGTACAGCAAGCACAAATTGGGGATCAAAATGGTCTATAAATGGTCAAAATTGGTTGGCAACTTGTTGAGATATATTTATGATTTAAATGACACTTGCGGAAGAAAAATGAAAAGGGAGAAAATGCAGTTTAAACAAATGTTGATATTTCAGTTTCTGGGCCGCTTATTATAGTACTCATTTTTACGCAATGTCACACTATTTTTTCTTTACAATAAGACCATATTTATTTTTGTACTAAGAAATATTTACAATATTTAGGTGTTTTAGTTACTGTGTTTTCGAGACTTGAAGGGAGTTTAAATGTAGAGAAATACAATTTCCTTGTGGACGCCGCCATCTTGGACAATTTGTAAACAATGGAATACGACTAGTGTTAATGTATTTCGGTAAATAACTGACTTCTTTCTATTGAAAAGGTTATGAAACTCAATCAAAATCAATTAAATAGATGTTTTTGTAGAATTTAGTCTCACTTTCTTTCTAGTGAGAAATCTGCTCAAAACAGGTTGTAAAAGTCGCATAATTGAGACAAGGGAATGGGCTTGTTTGTTTGATGCGCCTGGGAACTATTTCTTTTGTATAGCTAGTAGTAATGTACTGCTCATAACAGGCTTTATAATGGTGTCTATATGTGTGAGTGTGCAAAAGGCAACTTTATAAAGACACCAACAAAATAGGCCGACATTGTTCAGTTCAGAATATTTCAAAGTAAAAGTATTTAAAATCATTTTTCTATTTCACTACTTTGTAGTTTCATAGATAATTGTTTAATAAATGTAAAATATCAAGAACAGAAAATTGACCTATATATTGTTTGCCATTGTATTTTGGCATATATCTCGGATTGCGTCAGCACGACATCCGTCAGGACTTCCTATGCCGCCACACATATGGTATATGAATTTCTTCATAACCCAGTCGGTACAGAAAAGGAGGAAGTTCAACTTCATTTCATTTCCTTTATCTTAGTTTACATGTATGTAGCTAAAGAACTTATGGTGTATACATGTAGGCTACTTACCAGAAGTTTCTGCATACCAATATTTCTTGTGTATGTTGTGAGAGATTTATTCTTAGGATCAACAACAGATTCCTCAACAACACAGATATGTCTTGGACCACGAACAAAATGTTCTCCCCATCTAGGCATAGGATTCGTTTTTGTCAAAAGTCGTTTCGTATACAGTTTGCCATTAATTACTTCTCTGTGTACAACATCTTCTGATAAAACATGTTTACTGTTAAAAAACAAAAAATATTTCAATAAACTAGAACTGCAATGCAGTAATGATGGGTTTCACCGGTGCCACATCATCCTTGAACTTATGTCACCTACCATACAAATGGAAATGTTACACAAATTTCCACATGGGCATTGGACACATGTTACAAAATGGACACAGAATTTGCCAATAAATCCAGCAGTATCAGTTCCATTTATACAACGAAGACTCGACACAATGACATCACTTCCGTTATCAACAAAATATTTAAATTGGATTAAAGAAATAACCACTTCAATTGTCCTTTGCATGACAGAAAATTGATTAACATTTGATCAGTATTAATCCTTTATAAAGCCTTATTAAAATGCGAAAAATCTTAAAAAGTGATACTGACAAAGTTGGTTAATTCTGGGTACGAGAAGACATTAGAAACACTTATTTGATATTTATATGATGGTATTGATTCATACTATTTGTCCATTGAAATCAAATATCATAATTTCAAAACGAACAAGCCAACAGTGAGGCTGATGTCCCCTGCCGAAATCCCAAAATAAATAGCCTTTTTTCAAAAGTATCAAGCAATCAAACTGATTATCAACCATACACTAAGTTTCATCACTCTCTATCCGATAGAATCAAAGTTATCTTGTCCCAAAGCATCTAATGAAATTGCTTAGCTCTGCTTAGTTTTAGCTCAAAATGTTAATCATTGAACTCAGTCAAGACATTAACCTAATGAACATCTACATCAAGTTTAAACATTCTACCTCAATTAAAAGCAGAGTTATGTTCCAAAGTCTTGATCAATCAAACTGCTTATCACTCCTTAGCCTAAGCAGAAAATTCGCATCATCGAACTTAGTCCAGGTAATGATAAAATGAATCTATACTCAAAGTTTCATCCCTCCCACTTAATTAAAACTAAAGTTATCTTGCCCCAAAGCATCAACCAATCAAATTGCTTATCTCTGCTCATCTTCGAACTCCATCGAGGCATTCACCTAAAGAACACCTACACCAAGTTTGAATGTTCTAGCTCGATTAGAAGAAGAGTTATTGTGTTCCAAAATCTTGGCCAATCAAATTGCTTACCGCTCTGCTTACCCTGAGCAGAAAATGCTCATTATCAAACTTAGTCAAGGTATTTATGTAATGAAACTATACACCAAATATCATCACTCTCACTTAATTAGAACTAAAGTTATCGTGTCCCAAAGCATCAACCAATCAAATTGCTTATCACTCTGCTTACCCTGAGCAGAAAATGCTCATTATCGAACTTAGTCAAAGTATTGATGTAATGAAACTATACACCAAATCTCATCACTCTCACTTAATTAGAACTAAAGTTATTGTGTCCCAAAGCATCAACCAATCAAATGACTTATCTCTGCTTACCCTAAGCAGAAAATGCTCATCTTCGAACTCCAAAAAGTGTGACAGTCAGACAGACAGACAAACAGACAGACGGACGGACGGACGAACCCATTTTAATTAATAGTCCCCTGCTTTCTTCGAAAGGCGGGGGACAATAATGAATATCACTTACTTCAGTTCAAGCATATATTTGTTTTGTAGGATAAATATACAGTTTTTGCCAAAATGACATTACTTCCCGTGATAATGAAAATGTTTTAGGAAATCATAAATGGCATTAGGCATCACATGGTGAAAATTTTATGAAAATAACTGACACTTTTTTTATGGACCAAAAACATTGAAAAGTGACGCAACTGAACATGTTAGAAACCATTTTGTGATATCTATATGATCGCATGGGTTCGTTTTATTTGTTGATTTGAAACAAATATCTTAATTATAAACAAATTACAAATTTAACGTCTCATGACCTTAAAAAATGTATATAAATTTAAAGTCAATTGGATATTAACTTTGGCCTTTAGAGCGTTCCACAAGATTTTTTGAAGTGATCAAGGGTCATAACTCTGGAAGTAATTATCGGAAATCTCTGAAATTCAATAGGCTTCTTTGTCCCATGGCCTTAAACACTGTATATAAATTTAAAGTCAATCGAATATTAATTAATAATAATTAACACTTTTAAGGACCAAAAACTTTGAAAAAGTGACCTGTTGAAAATCGCCTATTTCTCCGCAACTGAACAAGTAAGAAACCATTTTTTGATATCTATATGATCATATGGGTTCATTCTATTTGTTGATTGGAATCAAATATCAACATTTTAAACAAATAACAAATACGACTCATTTGCATGAATTATTTGTTTTGAAGGCTATAAATACAGTTTTTGCCCAAATTACGTCATTTCCGGTGACACTGAAAATATTAAAGTGGATTGAACTAGTCACAATTGACTTTACGCATCAAATGGTGTCACTGTTATGAAAATCCAATAATAATTGACTATTTTACTACAGGCAAAATAGCGTAAAAAGTGACTCATGCAAAACTGACCATTTCTCTGCAACTGCTCATATTACAAACTAATTTTGAGATAGATTCTCTTCGTATGGATTAATGCTACACGTTTATGAAAGTTACGAAGAAATATTTTAAAATATGAAAAGCCAGAATAGGTTGTAAATAGCTCATTTTTACACCTTTTTTCACCTTTAAATCGAAATGGCGCAAATACAAAACCCGAGTCTGAGATTCTTTGCGCCTTTTGTAGGGGCATTTATCTTGATCTATCAGATTTGCAAAGATAGGTTGCCAGGCAACGAAACATACGCCCACAGCAGCTATATTGACCGGGCAGTCAACAAGAGTTGTTGTATATTTTATAATACATTAAAATCTGATTAAGAGTAACAACTCATTAAGTAATTATCAGAAAACTAATAGATTTTGTTTGATTTTTATCAAGTTCTGCCCCATGCTAACGTTTAGTATACAAAACTTTTAACATCATGGATTTAGCTGTTCAAGTCATAAAGATTCACTGAAAATCAATATACTAAGTTTAGTAACCATGTTAATCTTATAGTATAGGGTAGATTATAAAACTCTATAAAGGGAGTTCACATAACTTTCGCACAATTTCTTCTGAGTTGACTCCTCTTTGGAGCAAATACCAATCTTCTTTTTGATACTAAATTGATTATGTTTGTTTACAATATATATATCCTCTGAAAAAAAAACCAAACAACGAAAATACTCAATAATTGCTTACCTATAGGGATTTGGGTATCTTTGCCATAGTGCTATTGCCACTTGATCCCAGGTGTATTTAAATAAAGCTGTTGATGTGTAATATTTAACCATTTTTATATGAGATTAATTTATGAAAAACATACACGTATGGAACTCACCTGAAAATATATAGAATATTAAAACATCAACATTAGGCCTATACCTCATTTACAGTACATACAGGCAAATTGGCAATACTCGGGTCATATTCATTTATCATATCAATTGCTGAATTTAAGAGGAATATCCAGTTTTCCTAAACTTCTGTGTAGCCCTGCTAACAGATTCTACAATTTCACACCCATAAAATTAAACAAAAAGAACAAGAACTAGATCTGCTACTGTCCCATGCAGATATGAAAGCTTTCTTATTCATCGTCACGTGACATGGATTATATCAAGTATCTTAAAAGAAAAATGAACAAAAAATAATTATCAAAATCGGTGAAAAAGTCGCGAAGTTACAAGTCTAAATATAGTGAGAAACATTGCACCCGAGCAACAAAATAATCTGAAAACTAAAGGGAAATAACTGAGAGTTGGATTGCTGTAATCGGAATGACTTTCCGTTCCAGAAGTTTCAGAAAAATGGATCAAGCCGTTTAAAAACGGGACGGATGAGAACATGAAACGAAAATGGCGGGAAAGAACTAAAAAGGGACAAAAAATAAATGAAATAACTTTGAACGGAACTAACATTGTTTGAATCAGATTGACCTTAGCTGTTCGAATATTTAGGTTAAATTTGTAAATTTTGAAAATTAAAGGCATAAATTGTCCTGTAAACAACTTTGTCGGCACGCAAAAGGTCAAAGGCTAAATACAAATTTTTGAAAATTTTCAAACACCAAAAAATCGATCTTGATCTCGAGCTATCCTGAAATGCATTAATTTCAGAAATAAGAGACGCATTGAACATATTACAGCCTATTATGGTTTATTTTCACGTCTGTTCAAGTGGATTTTTCACTGTTCTTCATATTCAATTCCAAATGGAGACCATCAGTTGACAGAAAATCTTTTTTTTTGTTGCTAAAATTCTTTTTTTTTAATCGGATCAAAATGGGAGTAAGGCACAAGGTACCGGGTGGCAATGGCCGTATTGTGTCCAAATTTCATGGTTTTCGTACAATCGGTGCCGATATTCCACTTTTTTCGCATTTACTGAAGCCGTAAATGGCGGAAAAAGCCGAACGACCGGAACCGTGTGAAGAACAAACGACCTGAACGAATGCAGGTATCGCCTTGAATTTCTCAGGGCACCTAGGTACCAGCGTGAAAAGTTCCTCGCCGGAATTTGGTAGTCATCGTACCTTTGGTTCCAGCGTGGCGCATGCGCGAAGTCAAAAGAAATTACGGTCGATTTGGGGATTTTGGGTATATTTCGGAGTGGTTTGGTATGTGACGGTGGATCGGGGACCCGGATTGATCTATTATAATAAGCGTTGAAGAATGAGCAAATTTTCGCTACCGTTGTTGATTTGCTCTGCCCAGGCAACGTTCCGTTGGGCCGATTGCCTTCAAATTTGCACGGGATGTACCTTGGGATTCAAGCTATCACATATTAAAAATAGAAGAGTCTGGAATTCCGAGAACGTTGAAAATAAATTCGAAACCCACCCCCACCGATCAAAGATTTTTTTGCTTAAAAAATTGCCGTATTTTATCGAATTTTTATTGTTCTTGATATCTGAGCATTTTCTCCTTTTAATATGTGATAAATATCATCGCGGCGCAGCCAACCGCTAGAAATTCCAGAGATTTGGACCACCAGAAGGATGCCTCAGCAGTCAAAAAAGGTCAAAATAGGCGATTTCGGTTTCTAGTGTCGATACATCGTTGCGGTCATTTTAAAAAATTGTCTTTTAAGGATAATGTGTATAGTACTAATACCTATCACATACGGGAGAGGCGATAAAATATCTTTGCATTTGCAATTTCAAAATTAATTAAAACCAATATTAAATTCCGAAAATCGTTTTTTTGCTAAAACTCTTTTTTTTTTTAATGGGATCAAAATGGAAGTAAAGCACCGAGTCTGGGGTGGTAATGGGCGTATTGTGTCCAAATTTCATGGTTTTCGGATATCGGTGCCGGTTTTGCGACGAAATTCCACCTTTTTCCCCTTATAGAAGCCGTAAATCTGATTTGTGGATAAAACACAAAAAAAAAATAATAATAAGAATAATAATAATAATCTTAACAGAAACAATAAGCTTTCATATGAAATATGAAAGCTTAATAATGCTACCTCTATTACTTACAGTCACAAATTTCAAAAAGAACTGACCATGGTGAGATAATGTATAGAGTAAATAATTCACAGATATTAGTAATCTATGTTGTCACTGATAATAAATAATAATAATCAAATAAATATATAACAGATATAACCATAACAATTACTTTTTTTCTGTCATCAATAATAATAACTATAATTAATTAGATAATTAATTTTTAAAAAAATCAATAAATATCTTGGGTGTAACATATTGGCAAAGTTCATATCTACATATTTGCACTCATCCCAAACATAGGCTGCCTGTCTACAGCTAGCTGCGCCTGTAAACAGGCCCTAACCTAATTAACCGACGTTTTAATTCCTACATCGACGATTTTAGTCGAAAACACTGAGTATGCTTTTAGAAATTTTTAGAAGTATTTATTTCTCTTCTATTGTCATATTGAATGAAATTAAATATGTTTATTTAGCCGTTGTGTGTATGAAAGATGTCAAACTATTCAGAGCTGAATCACAAAATAGTCCTCTTATTATTTAATATGGCGGCGCCCATGAAAGATAATTTCACAGAGGCGGTTTTGTTTGCGAAGACAAATTTAGGAGAATCTAACCTTGTTTTGAAAGATAAACAGATTGAAACTCTATAGACAGTTTACAATGGTAAAGACTGTATTGCAATATTACCCACTAGCACATATTATATATATCACTTTTACCGGAGTGGCAGAAGTTGACATTTTGCCAACCTGACATATGTGTTTACATAAAACACGTGCTTCGGGTTATTTGTGTATAGAAAGCAGTAGTCCAGTCGATAAGTCCCGCCCCAAAATGATCGCGTGAGCATTTTAAATGGACGGCATTTAGGGCAGTGATCTATTCTCGAAGTATGACGTAGATAGATCGCTGCCTGCAGTATGGTTTGCACTTTGCAGCCAATGAAACAAATGTTACACACATTTAACAGCGCAAGGAGATAGATCTACATGCCTACAGTATTTAACATAAAGCCCCTGATTTTACAGATATCTGCTGTTCTAATTGTTCAAAAAAAGAGAAGAAGATCAGAATGATCATTACAAATATTTACTTCAATAGTTGTAATTATCATGTCATCATTCTAATTATTTACAAAATGTACCTGTTTATTTTTCTTATGAGCGAATAATAATATAAATCATCATGTTTATGGTTAATATTCTATTTTTTCAATGTGGTTTAATCTTATCAGTGGTGTACCATGGAGGACCTGACACTAGTGACAGGAACAGCTTCATTCGGATGGATTCTAGCTCAATTAGAAGGAGACTAACATTTCTAGTCAAATATTACAACGATGATAACTTTGTTCAGAATAAAATAATTTGACTGAAATTTTCAATATATTCTTCTTTCATCGTCTACTTTTGAATTGTTATAGCAAGAATGGCCAACTCTCTATAAAAATCTCCTATAATGTATCTTTAATGGATTTATTTATAAATAAGCCGATTTGATAAAGCTATATTTAAAATAAAATAGCATAAAAATGTTTTCAGACTGAAGATATCTTAATTAGAAGCCAAGATATGAACATTTATGTTCGGTAAATCGGGGTACTTTTAGTCTAAAATTTTATATAGAGAGAATTAAAATACACTGAAAGGTCACAGGGGTCAATGGCACAAAATTCAGGAATTAACAATGGATCAGAAGCACATAATAATGCATAATATCACCTGGACAAGAGAGAGAAATGGGGTTTAACGTCCACTCGACACAAACTAGGTCATTTCGGGACTAACATATGGTTTAATTTTATTTCAATAATTCGCTTGCGCGTAAGGGTCTTTAGCAGTGGGAGGAAACCGGAGGACCCGGAGAAACCCACGAGGTTGGACAGGCGACCCTACTCCTTGACACCTACAACCGGGGATTCGAAACCACGCCAGTTGACTCAATGACAAGCCGTATGATACAGCACGCACGTGCTAACCATTCGGCCACCCAACCCCCCTCACCTGGACAAAATATCCGATCTTGTTGAAAATTGGCACAACGCATGCCCAATTGACACTCTAATGTATGATGAAAAAAAAATATAGGTCGACCATGATGTCGGCCATTTTGAATAAATTAAAAACAAAAAATGCGTAATATTGTTGAATCTTAAAGTGTCTAAGTCTCTAACTCAATATCATCCAAAATCTTCGACATTGAAAACACGAATTATTTGTCAATTTAAATCAACATTGATGTTGTGATCTTACCGGGAAAAAATGGGCTTCTGATATCCAATATTTAAGTCAAAATAAACATTTTACCATTGGTACACGAATCGTGTACCATAATGCGTTTCAGGCCCATTCTAACAAGGGACACAAAAAAAGAGGCTAGACATTCAACAAGTATGCGCAATAAATACTATGTAGACTAGAATAACCAGACGCTAGAAATTTTCATTCGATTGAGACTTCAGACATATTTCGCCGAACGTAACTGATTTGAAATTGGAGTAAAAATGGAAACGATTGAATGTAAATCAGTTTATATATATTCCTATTACATTATTGTATGCGTTACGGCCCATTTGTGTCAATTTCTAGGTCCAAAATATTAGCGATTTAGCTTCTTTAACTATTTATATATATTCAAATTCAAGTTACATTTACAGAATAATAATCAATTATACAAAATGTAACCAAGTAAGAATCATTGTGATGCAAATATGCAAATTAGGTCATGTCAGTCATATTTGAATCCAATATGGCCACCATTATATAATGTTGTATGGATTTTATAAGTGTTTATATGTGTAACAAAAATAAGTGGTTTATTCATTAAAAATTCTTAAATCAAACCTTACTAAAAAAAAAAATTGTTCGATATTGGCCATTTTGAAATCCAACATGGCTGCCACAATTCCAAGATGGCAGTCACCAGCGACCACAAACTATTTTAATTTTATCGCAAACCAAAAAAAAAAAACTGAACAAATGTCATCATCCAACATATCAAACTGAAGCAAATCTAAACAGCAATTCCAAAATAACACTTTTGTACTTCTAAATGAATCAAAAACCATTACAGTAATAACAGATCAGACAAATATAACTTAGGATTAAAAATAAAATTCAAAAAGTATTAGGTTTAAAAGTATTTTCTGTGATAGAAAGGTCATGCAATGTTGCATTAGCAATTTAGCAAAGGGAGGTAATCGTACAAAGTTCACTCCCCTTACTAGACTACAAATGTGATTTATTTGAGAAATTTTTTTGTTAAGGTTCTGAATATTTTTACAAAACTGATCATCTTTGGTTGCTCAGTAAACATACTAAAAAAATAATATATCCGTTTTGAATTCCATTTTTGTCTGTCAACTCAAAATAATAACAGTCATTATTTACTGCATTTTAGTAATGATACTGACTCTTGTAAAATTTAGGATGAAGTTAATATTGAGTCGTGATTTAAAGTCAAAGTAGCTGAGTCTCTCACTCAATATCTTCCTAATTCTTACACGTTGAAAACACGAATTATTTGTCAATTCAAATCTTACCGAGAAAAGGTAGACTTCTGATATCCAATATTTAAGACAAAATAAACATTTTACCATTGGTACACAAATTGTGTACCATGTCCATAGTGCGCTTCAGCGTTACTTGGAACATTGGTGTTGCGATCTTACCGGGAAAAGATGGGCTTCTGATATCCAATATTTAAGACAAAATAAACATTTTACGATTGGTACACGAATCACGTGTACCATAATGCATTTCAGCGCAATTTCAATTTGTAGCAAGCGACTCGAAGAACGAGGTTAGACATATTCCACAAGTCATGTCAAACGGTGACCCCATGTTCTTATCTGGAGAGCATGTGCAATAAATACTATCGGTGTAGACTGGAATAACCAGACGCAGAGATTGCCATTCGATTGAGACTTCTGGCGTATTTCACTGAACATAACTGCTTTGAAATTAAGTATACTGTCTGAGTCTTGGTAAATTTTAAACGGATTTCTTCGATTATGAACAAACTACTTAACTTTGGTTATTATAAACTTACCTGTGTGTTTGTAATCAACTCCCGTTCGATAAAATCCATTGCACAACTAATTATCACAACGATGAAAACAAGTTCTCTCTTGAAAAATTGAAATATCACAAACTTTTCCCAAAGAAAAATACCAATATGGAAGATGGTTACGTCGCTCTGCGGAAGATATCATTTCGTATTAGGGGTGACAGCATAGGAAATTCAAGTCAATTACGACAAGAATCCATGACCACTCGGACCAAAGACCACTCGGTTCAAGACCAGTCGGACCAACTGATAGACCACTCAGCCCAAACAAATAGACTACTCGGACCATACAAAAAGACTATTCAGACCCAACAGAAAGACGACTCGGACCAATAATAAAGTGTTGTTTTAATAAATTGATAATTGCGTTTGTTTTAATATGATTACTCGAACCAATAATAAAGACTATTCGGACCCAACAGAAAGACGACTCGGACCAATAATAAAGTGTTGTTTTAATAAATTGATAATTGCGTTTGTTTTAATATGATTACTCGAACCAATAATAAAGTGTTATTTTAATAAATTGATAATTGTGTTTATTTTAATATGACTACTCGAACCAATAATAAAGTGTTATTTGAATAAATTGATAATTGTGTGTGTTTTAATATGACTACTCGAACTAATAATAATGTGTTGTTTGAATAAATTGATAATTGTTTCCCAAATCGCAAAATATCGAGAACCACACTTGTAGTCACGTTTAAAAAGGGGCATATAAACGTCCGGTCTTCGTATTATTATGTGCTGTTTATATTAACGCATCAAGGGCGGATAACTTGAAAACGTGTCTCCCCCCCCCCCCCATATATAGTAACCCAGGGGTTAGTGGGGTAGAACGGAATGAAACCACTGGGGATACCGCGAATGTGGAAAAAGTAAAATTAGGCTATCAGACAAGAACAGTATACCCGTATATGCAGAAACTGTCAAAAGTCTGGACATACCGAGTCTCATTGCAAGAGTAAATAAGAAAAATTAGATTGATATTTTTTTTGACACCATTATTAATTAATTTTAAAACTTATCGTTGATTTATTTTCCGTACACAAAATTGAACTAAACAACTCTAAATATAAGAATTCCGTATAAGAATTATTTGCTTCTTTGTAATAATAAATAAATAGCATATTGTCTAGCCTTATAATATAATTTAATTGGTCCGACTGGTCTTGTTTTGGTCCGACTGGTCTTAGTCCGAGTAGTCTTTGGTCCGAGTGGTCTGGATACGTACGACAATTGGCATTGAGTTTGAGCGTTCGCACACATAACTACCCGCAATCCTGTATTTAGTTACCGTCTTTTACATTCTAGTAAAGTCTCTGCAAATTTTATAGCTTTACTTTTTGAAATATTTTGTTCTAATTATTTGATTAGCGACTCGGATGGGATAATTTACTTTTGAACACGCATGCCGCACAAACACAACTATACATTCGTTTTACGGGCTTTATCACACTTCGGTCAAAACTGTAGAATCGAGAATTAATGTTCCGCTTCTTACGGGGTCATACGGGCTTAGTAGCATTATATACCCACCCGGGCACCCAATAGACATGCTGAGGTCTGCCGCAACATGCTTAAAGATGTTACTGAAGCGGTTATTATTCGATCGAAAGAATGTGTATAAAATTAAAAATACACTCAGAGAATTCGGAGGTAAGCTTCATGATCCTTGTTAAATTATTTATAACATAAAGAAGATAGGATATTTATAGTTTATACATGACTTTATTTTTACGAGTATCCGTGCAATCAGTGATATTTTGATTGTGAAGAGAATTTGATAGACTGGCGATCAATGGTTTCCATATAAATCTCCTATGTAATTGCCTTCAATTGATATTTTTCGTCGCCCAAACCCGTATACGATCAAAATGATCGCGCTGTTAAACTATCTTTCAAAGTTAACCAACCCCCGCAACAAGTATATTGGATTCGACCAATACGTCACGAAAACATTGTTGACATCGACTCTGTCGAAATTACAAGCAAATTTTCAAATTTTTCAAGAGAGAACTTGTTCTCATCGTTGTGATAATTAGTTGTGCAATGGATTTTATCGAACGGGAGTTCAATACAAACACACAGGTAAGTTTATAATAACCAAAGTTAAGTAGTTTGTTCATAATCGAAGAAATCCGTTTAAAATTTACGATGGTTCACACAGTAGGCTAGAGTAAAAACGGAAACGATTGAATGGAAGTAATTACATTCATATTACATTATTATGTTGCGACCCATTTGTGTCAATTTGTAGGTCCCAAATATTAGCGATTTAGCTTCTTTAACATACCATATTCACTCTTGTCTATTATTTGTGATCTATAATAAACATGAAAACTTTAGCTTGTTACTTCTTCAGCAGCATGCTGACGATAATACTATCGATAGCCATTTTTACTTGACCTGATCATCGATGACGTCACAAAAAGGGAGACAATTACGGTCGAATCATTCGGACTCCGACTAGTAGTAATTAGTGCGAGTTATAAATAAACAATTTTTCCCTTAATTGTTTTCTTCCCTCTTCCTGCATTTTTGGGTTGACTTTTTGGTCTAGAATTGGAGAAAAGGGACCAAATTTGCAATTTCATAGCAGTTTTGGGAAAGGGATAAGGGATGTAAAGTGTCTTTCTGCAGAGCAATCATTTAATTATGTCGGATTCGGAAGTGAGATTTTCACCCCACTCCCAGTCAACTTCAAATCCCCGTAGGGTAGCAAAAAATCTAAACGGTCAACCCCCTACAAAATTATGATGAGGAGATTGCCAAATGTGCCTATGTGGTCCCCATTGTGCGTATAAAGATTGGAACCAACGGAATGTTGAACAAAAAGCTACACTACAGCCTGTGACAGTCATTTAACATTGAAGTCAATGGGCAAATAATTGCTAGTCTGAGACCATAGACTCATAGAGGTGTATATATCACAGAGTAAAAATACATTACTCTGTGGTATAATTATATTGACTAGAGTGTTTTGTGGTCACGTGATCCCCATTGACGTAACGTTAACGCCGTGGGCCGTCACTGGAGACCAATGACTGGAGACTGGCCGCCATGACGTTTCAACCGGGAAAGAATCACGGAAGTGCCCGGACGAACGCGATGTTAACAAAGGAAATTAGACTGACGGAGGGCGGACGCGTGTAAGCCCATTAAAAAAGCAGTTCTAATTCAACAATATCAACCAAAAAAATGATGATTGAAAGGTCTTACCTTACTGTCCTAAAAACAAAATCGTTTTGGTCAACTGGCATATTTTGGGGGCTTTATTATTTAGAATAACTCTTATCATAATCATCATCATCATGAATACCGTGGCATGGTCGCCATCCATGACCATACATACATAACATAGTGTAAATTGTAATGCAGAACTGACGAAATCATGTTTATTTTATTAATTAAGCACAGTGAACGTCCTCGAATGTCCAGATCTATAAAATGTTCAGCAAAATTTTGAACATTGCTCCTCGGTAGTTCACATAAAACTTTATTTTGGATAGATCTAAATAATTTGTTCAGTTGGACGATTTAAAATGAAAGGACTGCTTGATTGACAGATAACAAACTATCTATATCATGTAAAGAAATAAAATCGATTTTAAAAATAATCTATGACTTCTATCATTTACCAGTAGAATAATATCTGATGCCGATTGGAAATATTTTTTTTTAAAAAAAAGGAAAATATAAACACTCCTAGTAGTCCTAGCAAGGCCTTAGTACTAGGCCTGTATGAATTTCAATTTCCATGATCTGGTGTCTGATTTTTCTTTGTTGAAAAATACGGCGGTATATTAAATTTTACAAAAAAATAAGACTAACCTTAGCAGCGATTAAAAAAAAATATCATTATATCACTATCAGGCCTATTTTTTTTTTTTTTACAAAATTTGACTGGGAATGAAGTTATCAAGATTACTTATTATTATTAACCTTTTTTTTTTTTAACTAGTTCGGGGGTTTTAAGCGGGTTTTCAGAAGAAGAAGAAAAAAAGAAACATAAATATTGCAAGAAACTTTCACTTTATTCTGTACGGTATTATCTATGGTGTGCACAATGAATGTCGGCCTAATTAATAAAATCCGAGGGAGTAAAACTAACCGATAGTAAAGCAACTACTGGCCAGTGAGTGCATGTCTAGCACTCCACTCCAATAAGTAGACTTTACTCCCCGCGATATTCTTCGTACAATGCAAAATGTGTGTATATATATAATATGCGCAATTTCCATAATAATTAAATATACATTAATTTGGAAGTTCGCTAAACGCACGGACCTTGTAATTATTACATAATAAAAGTATCAGTACCGTACTAATAATATAGACCCGCCCGGTTTCCGGCCTCAAACTTCCAGTGTTCGACGTCTTCTCGCCGTGTTTATTAAATTATTTTACACAATTATCATGATTATACTATATCTATTAGATCACTATTTCACTTATAATATATCTTACCTACTTATGAAATGATAATCCACTCCCTTTTCGCCTGACATTGAATTAACCAAAACTACAACAACTCTCCGGCATGTTGATATATGCCAACTTAGGCTAAATCTTCCCGGTTGTAAAATGACTGCCGACCTCCACAGTCGGCACGCGATCACGTGACCACCATACACTCTAGTCAACACCTTCATGTCTGAGACCATTCGGAGGCAGACCGCCATTAAATTTCACCATCTCGTCTATTTATAGCAATTCCCCCTATGTCTCTTTTCTCCCCTTTTGCATGCCAATTTTTGTTGATTTTTTGGTCTAGAATGGACGAAGAGGGTTAGAATTAACATTTTCTGCCAGGTTTCGGTAAATATTTATGATTTTGAGGCGGAGGGATAACGGGGTTTAGCCTATAGTAGCATACTAAAAACACGTAACTTATTGTTGCCGTACATATCACCGTAGCCAACCTGATGTGCCAAGCGTACATTATTTATACTAGTTGTAATATTGGACCCGCATGACGTATTTCATTGAAATGCATGTGCTGGATAGTATCTGTATTTTAGGCCTAAGTTTTTAATGGTCTCGTGCAAGACGTTGCGTAATATAAAGATATTGACCTCGTGCTATCGCACTCGTACAATATCAATATATTACTTAATGCAGTGATTCTCAACCGTTTTTGCCAACGACACACCTTGAAACACATGACAAAATGGCGGCACACCTGGCTACAGGGTCCACAAACTAAAATATGATTGTTCGTACAAACAGGGGCCATAATCCAGGAAGTGAGGGTCCTATATGGACCAATATCGAAAGGAACCGAGATCTTTCGGTAATAAACATTTTAAGTTTCATCAAAATCGGATAAAACATGTGACATCTAGAGTGTCCACAACCTTGGTATTATTATGCATTTTTTGTCAGGTTCGGCATCATAGGATTAAACCACCATCGACTGTGTTTTTATGGTAAGGGAGTTAAACAAGAAATACTATTTCAATTCATTGCTGAGTGCACGTAGTTTTATTAGCCAGAAATCGCCCGGAAAGCATCTCCGACGATCTAGACCACCAAGATTCCGGGGCCTAGGCGGCCCTTAGACCCTCGCCTAAGGACTTAGGATGGTAGCCCCACCCCCAATCAAGAATTGCTTCCGCCGGCCCTGTTATTTCACGTTAAAGGGGCTAAATCGCTAATATTTGGGACCTGAAATCAACACAAATGGGTAGCAACACATATAATAACGTAATATAAATATATAAAAACTGATTTACATTCAATCGTTTCCGTTTTAACTTTAATTTCAAATCAGTTATGTTCGGCGAAATACGCCAGAAGTCTCGATCGAATGGCAATCTAGCGTCTGGTTATACCAGTCTACACCGATAGTATTTATTGCGCATGCTCTCCAGATAAGAATATGCGCCACCGTTTAACATGACTTGTGGAATATGTCTATAGCCTCGTTCTTCGAGTCCCTTGTTACAAATGGCGCTGAAACGCATTATGGTATACCATTCGTGTACCAATGGTAAAATGGTTATTTTGTCTCAAATATTGGATATCAGAAGCACATCTTTTCCAGGTAAGATCACAAGATCAACGTTGATTTAAATTGACAAATAATTCGTCTGTTCAATGTGGAAGATATCGAGTTAAAGACTTAGCTATTGTAAAATACGTAAATACATTGCCGACATAGGCGTACGAGTCAGATCAATTTTGAGGGGGAGGGGTGAGAGGACAGAAATAAAATTTCTCCGGATACTGTGTGCGTCGGGGGGGGGGGGTAGGTCTATTGGGTTGGAGGATCAAATGGTTGCAAACGCATAACCGAAATTCCACTCCGTGCCCACCTGAATACCAGATTTTGGAGGAGAAGGGACATTAAATGATATGGCCGAACAAAATCCTGTTAGAATTCCTGAGAGCCGGTCACCACGCGGAAGTCGTAAAGCGCGTCGTCGGTGGATGTGTGGGGTCCTGTCTCCCCCAGAAAATTTACGACAATTAGAAGGCCCCAAAACGCGTTTTCCTGCTACGTATTTCAGCAACCTCAGAGTGATCAATTATAAGCCATCTGAACTCCTATCCGCAAATCAATCAAACAGATTGTTGCCGTTGCTTTCGCATGACACCAAAACAAAAATCTCACTGATGAAACAAATTTGACCGAAAAACATTTCGCGCTTAGAGCAGAGTTACTACAATAGAGTGGCGCTATGCACTTTTCTGAGAGAGAGAGAGAGAGAGAGAGAGAAATGGGGTTTAACGTCCACTCGACACAAACTAGGTCATTTTGGGACTAACATATGGTTTAATTTTATTTCAATAATTCGCTTGCGCGTAGGGGTCTTTAGCAGTGGGAGGAAACCGGAGGACCCGGAGAAAACCCACGAGGTTGGACAGGCGACCCTACTCCTTGTCACGTACAACCGGGGATTCGAAACCACACCAGTCGACTCAATGACAGACTTTATGATACAGCGCGCGCACGCTAACCATTCAGCCATCCAACCCCCATGCACTTTTCTATTACGCTAATTATAAATTACACTGATCTTAAATGTTTTATCCATTAGTCGGGGGTTTGGGTGGCCTAGTGGGCGTCAGTGAATCAATTTAATTAGTGGCGTGGTTTCGATTTCCCGCTTATACGGGACAAGGAGTAGGGTCGCCTGTCCTCCGGTTTCTTAATACTGCTAAAGACCCCTAAGCGCAAGCGAATTATTGAAATAACACTGAACAATGTGTTTGTCCCGAAATGACATAGTTTGTGTCGACTGAACGTTAAACCCATCTCTCTCCCTCCCTCTCTCGCTCTCTCTCTCTCTTAGTCAATTTATAATTTATTTCGAATCCCGAAAAATTGATGACTCAATTAATTATCGATAACCAAAAACTGTCCTACGCCGTACAGTGCAGAATGGCTCCAGACCAAAAAGTCATGGGATTTCGGGG